TAAATATTTAAAAAAATATTTGTTTCAAGTAAAACGTAGACAGTTCAATACTTATTTATTTCTAGAGTCAAAAGACGATTTTGGTTAGCTGGCGATAGGTGTTTGAGGTTATGTACCTGCATTATAATAATGGAGTGCTGATAAGACAGACGCTTATCAGAAGTAGCCACAAATATTTGTGAGCGTTTGCTTCTTCTTCGTTTGAACCACCACAAGCACTGCCAACAGTAGGTAAGTTCATGCTTGAAGGTCGTTCGATCGAAGTGGTGGGTGTGGGTTGCCGCAAGCTTACGCGTGCAAGTTCTACACAAGTTTTCAATTATCTCCAACTCCAGCTGATAACAACTTTAGAAAATATATTTTAATGCGCGTCGAGGCCTCAGCTTGTGCCTTCCCCCAACCCACGCAACTCGTGTGCAACACACTTTCATTGTGCTGGGTCAGTTCTTATGATGTTACCTCTCGGTGCGTGCCGATTAGCCACGCTTCTGACTTTACATAACAACAGCCAAAGCTGCGCAAATCACGGGCTTCACTTTAGTCATTTCCGTTTTACGATAATATATACAAAATATAAACATGATATACAGATACAAAACTCAATGAAAAAATGTATCTTAGCATTAGGATTCTTTTTTAATGATTTTATCAATGGATGCCTAATCAGGCTAGACGTGATTAGATCCAGTTGTCAGATATTGAAGCTGCATGCGTGTGTATGTGTGGCCATACTACGAAACTTGTGCATAAAGTACAATACGGAAAATGCACTCGACTTTACATTTATTATTATTATTTTCTAGAGCGATTTTTCATCGCTCTAAAATTATCAAAAATAGAAATCAAAGCATTATCTATTATCATTATTATCTAGTGCAGAGCCCTATGGAAATTTCCATTGCACTTAATATTTCTTTCTGTGTATAAAATAATTGTAACCAAAAAGAACTTGAACAAAATTTATGAATGAATGAATAAGAAGCAAACATACACGAATACATGTGTACAGTGTGCGTGTGTGTGTGTGTGCGTGTGTGTGTATATGGATGAAAAGTGGCGTGCAAACGAAATATAAAACAGGCGAGCCAAATACAGCTACAACTACAACACACATACAGACACACACACACACACACACACACACACACGCACACACACAGGTACGTATGAATTTGTAGCAGCCGCAACGACAAACATTTATATGAATGAATGAAAAATTGTAAACTGAAAAAAAGGCAAAAAGTTGTTAACGCAGCAGTTCCACGAAAAAAAAAGACAACAACAGCAAGAAATCTGTGAACAAGAAATTTGAAAGGTAAAAACTTAAATTAAAACAAAACTTAAATAAGAAACACGGAGCAAGTGTCGAGAGACAACCCCAGCCCCAGCCCCAGCCCCAGACGCAGCCGCAGCCTCAGCAACTGGTTTGGTTTGCAGCAGCAGCAGCAGCTGTCCACAAATGTGCGTTAGGCGAGTCCAAATTATGAATAAATAACGAGCAACAGGGACGGCGGCGGGGTGCAGCTAAAATCAAAATAAATACAGTAAAAAGATAGAAGCACAAAACGTGCTGCCCAAGACTCGGTCCAAGCCGAGATAGGAGACGCGCCCACATCTGCGTCTTCGTCTTCGTCTTCGTCGGCTGAAAAGTGGAAAGAGTCAAAGCGAAGACGAAGCCGGTTTGCAGGAACATTGTTGGGGGGCGCACACGCAAAAAGGAAGGAAATAAACATCAAGCATCATCGAGTGAAACCAACAACAACACCATAAACACACGCACACACACACACACACACAAGCCAGACGGAGAAGGAGGGCTAGCGTGAGCTAAGTAAAGAACTTTAAGCAAGCAGCGAATCGAAGCAAAAAAAAAAAACTCTGTCAGCCCCACCAAGTCAAAACGAGCCAATGTTTCTGTTGCCTGTTGCTATTCCCCATTCATCAACTGCATTTCAACGCCGCGAGGCGATCGAGCAGCAGCAGCGCAGCAGTAACAACAAAGCGCAGGCAGAACCAGAAACTTTTCTACTCGCGCAACGCAAGTATGAATGAAAACGAACGTGTTTGCTTTTTTTTTTTGTTGTTCACGAGAGAGTCGCGAGAGCAACTGGCTGAGCGCATGAATGAATTTAACGGGCTGGGAAGTGAGCGCCCAAAATGAATGAAAGTAGTGGGGCTCTCTCTCTCTCTCTCTCTCTTTCGCTTCTGCTGGCGCGGCCTCTGGTGCCTTTTCAGTTTTTGTTCTCTGCTCACCAATACATGCAGGCATGTAACATATTCATACGAATCATAGCATATTAAAAATATTATATTTGCTTTACTTTTTTCATTGCTCTTGCGGCTTTTGCTGTTATTTTCAAAGTTTATGATTAATATGCGCTGATTAAAGGCGCGGAATAAATATATATAGTGTACACACTTATATATATATATGTGTATATGCATGTATAAACGTATTAAATTAAAATAAGGGCATGCTGGATACAAATATATGTGTATTATATGCATATGTGTGTATGCACACATACTTATGTATCTGTGACTGTGCGTATATTTTGCTCTTTTATAAACACATACATACTGTAAACTAAATTTACGTGCCGCGTTGTTTTTGTCCCCCCCTATTTTATTATTATTATTATTATTATTATTATTATTATTATTATTATTATTATTATTATTATTATTATTATTATTATTATTATTATTATTATTATTATTATTATTTTGGTCCCCTTTCAATGGGTCCCCAGCAACTGCGCAGTTGTCGCAGTTTTGCATGTTTTTTATTTGTTGCCATTTTTATGGCCGATCTTCTAGCGGCAAAAGATAAGTTCATGCGCCGCTCAGACTCGATTTGTAGGGAACTGGGAATGGGCCTGCGACTGGGGCTGGCACTTTGGCTGCTGCTGGGGTTGGGGCGCTCCGTATGGCCCAAACAGCAAACTGTACGGGATAGTTGGCCACTGACTTTTGTCGTACGTTTGCGTCGCGTCGCGTTGACATTGAAATTGTTTTGGTTTTACTTTTTGTTGATTTTGACGCAGCGATAAGGCATAAATACTTTTTGTATATCTGTGAACGCGTCGTCTGTGTGTGTGTGCGTGTGAAGACAAAAATATCCCATTTTGTGATTTGTTTTTATAAACAACATTAAATTCAGGCACTTCGGCAGATCCAATGCATTGTTTGAATTTGCTTTGCATACATATAATGAAACACACAAGCATACATCAAGTATCTTTAAGATACATTGTATGTTCTTCTAATTTAAATTCTAGAAATTGCATATCAATTCAATAGTTGTTATTGCTGACTTAAAGCAGAGATTAAGATTAATACTAGTTAATAAAATTGCGTTTAATACAGATTGTTTTTATGTAAGAGGCTTTGTTTTTTACAGAAACTTCCCACAATTGTGCCTCAACCGAAACATTTTCATCAGCATTCACACAGCAAAGATGCATACAAATTACCATTAAGCTGCCAGATACATTAAGACATAAACACACATGTGCGTGTGTGTGTGTGTGTGTGTGTGTGTGTGTGTGTGTGTGTGTGTGTGTGTGTAATAGAATCATGCATGGCAGGCAGGCAGCATGCAGGCGCACGTTAGTGGACAAAAGTATAGAAGACACATGCCAAATGAACGACGACGTTTTGTCACATAACGTATACGTAAGGTATTTTGCCAGAGTGAGTGACTGACGTATTGCCTGATTGACAGCAGCAACAGTCAGCGCACTCAGAGGGAGGGGGACAACAAACGAAGGGTAGCACTGAGTGCACATTTAAGATATTTATTTCATGTATTTGAAATGCAAATGTGAGAGTGTGCGTGTGTGTGTGTGTGTGTGTGTGTGTGTGTGAGTGTGCAAGTGTGTGTGTGTGTTGGTTGCTTGGTTTGTTTTCTGTTCGAATTGAATGACTTGACTTGGGGCGAATGAGTGAATGAAAGAATGAATGAATCTGTAAGTTCGCTTGGCACTTTGCCGGCAGTTTGGGGCGCGGTGCCTGCGTTTTGCCTGTGCCTCTCTGAATGGACACCGGAAATAAACGACGTGACTTTTTACTAAAATATTAACCAACTATGTACATACATATAATACAAAAACATTCATATATTCACGAATCATTTTTATATAAATGCTTATACATCATATAAAAACATCTATTCGATCTACATATACACATGCATGCATGCATACATGTATGTACGCATGCATACATGTATGTCTTTCACTCGCTTTGTTTTCAACGGCGCAACAACAGTCAAATCACAATTTTCCTATGTGCCAGTGCGTCTGCGGCTTATCTTATCGCAAATAATTTGTATTTGGTATTTTTTATCGCCCTGTTCAAAAGGCATATGCGAATAATAAAATTGCAAAAACAAATCGCCCAGCCAAAGAGTCTGAACATGACTGATGATGGCATTTCTGTGTGTGTGTGTGTGTGTGTGTGTGTGTGTGTGTGTGTGTGTGTGTGTGTGTGTGTGTGTGTGTGTGTGTGTGTGTAATATTTTTAATGTATGTGCATGCACACGGCGCTCTGCGTCGCTCTCGCAGTGCGAGTATAAATACACACACACACACACACACACATACATTTGGATATGTGTGAGTGCAAAGATAGCGCACAAGAACTGAGCACAATCATATAAGAAAATACGAAACATTCGCACGACATATTGCTCTTTAATTATTTCCATTTCTTAGAAATATGTTATCTACAAAAAATGTCTTCAACATTAGGCCCCATATAACAATCGGGTTAATAGTTATGCCATTGTGAAGTCTACACTGGAAATACCAAAAACCTTATTTTTTTGTGAGTCCCAATGTTGTTCAAAGGCTACAGTTTGATTAAAATAGATTATGACAAAATATTAAGTCGTATTTCCATAGGAAGGCCCATTTTACAAAAAAAAAAATGGATTTTGACAATATTATCTTCGGTATGGTTCCCATTTGAAGCCCTCAATCGTGTCTTATTTCCTATTACTTACCCAGCGAAGCTTCATGATCTGAAATATCCGATAAACTGCATACAGTCAAATCTTTGCAGCCATTAACCGGTTCCTCTTTAATATACTTTGTGGTGGACTGAAAAATAGAAAATATATATTGAAAATAATTGTATATATAATAAAAAACTTCAAAAGAGTATGCCTATAATTAATAAACTAACAGAAACCATTTATAATGTTTATTTGTATGCTCTAGCTAGATTGTCAACAATTTTCAGTCCAATTTTAGCTTTTCATACAACTTAACTAGCTGTACATCATGTACTAAATATTACCCTAGCAAATTAGAACCACAAAACCACAAATGAATGATGTCAAATGGTCTAGCATTGGGGTAGTTGGATTTGAGCCTAGCCAAAATTTGTGTGCGGACCCCCTAAAACATAAACCGAAGCCCCGAAAACCCCTGCTCACAATCAGCAAGGCAGGCAGAACAACATAGACATGGAATAGATTGCCAGCAATTGTCAGCTGAGGGAGGGGCTGGGTGCGGGCACTGTGACTGCCCCAATTGCTGAGGCAGTCCCCTGGGTTTGATCATGTTAAGCGCGTTCTAATAAATTAAATTGTACATTTGACTTCGCATACACTGATATACACACAGGCACAGACACAGACATAGACACTAGGCTACTCAGCGCGATGATCAGTAGAGAGGGTTGTGGGAAGGGGGAGGGTGAGGGGGGAGGGGTATCATTTGTGATGTGTCTGTGGCTGCTGTTTTGTCGTTTATTGTCGTTTATGATAATGGAGGTCACAGTAGTCAAACGAAATGTTTCATAAATATCGTAATCAATTGACGCCAAACAGACAATTCAATTTGAATTTCGAATTGGAATTTGATTCGACGACAGTCTCTCAAAAAAGTTCACCTTCTATTATGTGGTTAGCTTCAAATGTCAAAAAAAAAAAAAAAGAAGTATAAAGTGAAAAAAAAACGTCGATATATAAAGGCGAAACTTAAGACACGACTTTCTGCCAGACTATAGATTAAATTACTTGACTGCATTTTCCACGCGACTGCGCATGCGGCCAGGTTCAATGCAGGTCCTTTGACTTTGCCAGGCTCGGCCAGGCTGATGACCGAGCAACCGGATGAAAGTGGTCAGCTCAACGGATATGTTTACCGCAAACTGTGGCAACATCAAATACCTTCACATGATCCAAAAAAAAAAAAGAAAACTACAAGAGAGAAAGACTATCTTTGGCAACCCGAAGAATAAATACCCTTGTGGGGTACTGTAAAACTCGTAATTGCCGAGTTTGTTGAAAATCATTCTTCCATAGAGAAACTAATTTTTCGAATGATTCTTGCTATGGAGATAAGATAAGATTCTGCTGATATCTGAGAGCTCTTTAAAGCAAGAACTTTACGACGGATTCAGTGGTCCGATCTGGTATATAATAACTGTTGAGACTGATCAAGACTATATACTTTATCAAATCGGAGAAGTCATCTTCTGTTTGTTCTGTGATCATATCATATATAAAATGATCATCAAGAAGTGCACTCGGGCAAAGGTTTTTCCTTAAATATAGAAAGCTTCTCTTGAAGATGTTCAAAGAGCAACCTAATTTTCATCTGAATGTTTAGTTGCATCCTATAGCAATAAGAACTCTAGAAAATCCGCATCAACATAAATGGAGCGTCCGATCCGACTTTTGTCTACCATGATGACGCAGCAGGGCGAAGCCTTATAATTGCCATATATTGGATGTATTGTATCCTCGCTATTGTTTGCTATTTTTGGAAGAGTTACGTATATTTTTAAATATTTACATTTCGGGCAGGTCTGTGGCTGACTATTTCTGTCATAAATTAAGTGGCACGCTCATTACTTTTATAGCGCATAAACAAACGATTTTATGCGAAAAGTTTAACGACAATGCTATACCCTACGATTCATATTTTGCAGCAAAGAAAATAAATCTAGAATATCTTTACATTAAATTATTCACGGCTACAATTAAGTTCTCAAATCATCAGCTATGTAAATAGAATGCTTTTAAATCTGATATGCTTGATGTTGAGACTGTAGGGTGTTAAAAGTGCATAAAACACAAACGCATAATATATTATTATTAATTGCGTTTTGTTTGGGCAGCCAAATTTAGATTCAGTCGACGTGTTCTGCATATCAAAACGGACTCAAGATCGCATCAATCCGTCGTTGCCTGAACTGATCCATTGTGAAGCCTGTCAAACTTGCGTGGAATATAATGGACATCGGATCGATTAGCCAACTGATCGACAGATAAATCTAGCTATGAGTGCTCCTCAAGATTATATGTGTTTTTAAAGTTTCGTATGGGAAACGCTTTTAGCTAGAGTCGGGAGAATCGTCAATTGATTGTATAAAGATTCAGCCTTTAAGGTTCTCTTAGGCTTATAGGCATTACGATCGAAATAGAATAATGTAATCATATAATCACCATAATAATGTTTAAAGCGATCTTTTTGCAACTTTTTATAGGTCCGATTTGCCCTGTCATAGGGAGTGCATATGTCGGAACTAGCCGAATCGAATCACTATATCATATAGCTTCTGTAGGAATAATCGGTCGAAATGTAGGTTCTTGTATTGAAAATAGTTTATTCTATAAGACATCTTGTCGAAAACTTAGCATTTATAAGTTTATGTTCTCTACATTTTTCAATATCTTAACAACAACAGATTACTATATCCAAGATCGGTCGAAAATTAGGCACTTATATGGAAAAGTTTTTGGTTTATCAAGATATCTTGATCAATCTTGGCATAAATAAGTTTCACTATGTTCTCTACATATGTATAACATCTTATCAACATCGGATTACTATATCATATAGCTGCCATAGAAAGGATCGCTTAAAAACCAGGCACTTGTATGGAAAACTGTTTACAAACATGTATGCAACATCTTATCAACATGGGGCATATTTTTTTTCCAATATATTTCCATTAAACTTAGTATTCTCAGAGATGTACAAATTATGAAATTCTTAATATAATAGTGGAATAGTGTCTTCTTAAGCTTGTACATTATAACATTCTAAAGTAGCTTAAAGTCGCGTGAAAACAGTTTTCTAAAACTTACCTCAACTAGGCTGGACAGAAATGTGACTTTTCTGTTCTTTTTGAGCCGCATGTTGCTGCTGCTGCTGCAGTTGCTGCTGTTGCTGCTGTTGTTCGAGAAGGAGTTGGGATTGCAGCTAGTTTTAAACAGGTGTTGTCCCGCGTTGAAATTGAGGAGTTCGTTGAAGTGCACCGCCCTGTCAAGGAAGGAGTGTGTAGTTGCCGTTGCCGTTGTTGTTGCGATTGCCGCTGCGGCTGGCAGCGCTGGGGGCAGCATAAATTTTGTTGCAGACAGATCTGTCTTACAAATCGCCACTTCCATGCTGTGTACTCATCTAGAACGGTATGAAAGTAAACAGATTGCAATTAGTAAAAGCGCAAAGTGCAAGATAAACAAGCAATCGAATGCGATCGAAGATGGATTTGATCCCATTATGATTGCAGTGGCGCTTCGAGCCCAATTTCCCATATTATTATTGGCCCATTACTTAGCAGGCTGTGCGCCGCAGTGGGCTTTATGGACCTGATTCACACCTTCAACTATGGCCGCTGTTCGCACCTTAATGCTCAATTGGAGCCAGGGATGCGTTGTTGACTTAAGAAATTATGACGCTTTGGTGCGACTCAACGTCTCGGCCGTCTGGCCAAGGCACACACAAGTACGTACACTATTTACACAGTAACAACGATCGGAACGTTTTAAAATTGCTCGCGCCACGAGACAAGAGCAACATCAAAGTGTCCGCCCCTTTTGAGCGACTCAACGCGTCTGGGGACAAGGCCACAACAAAAGGAGCCGCCGCAGTTTGCATATAAAATACGGTTTTGTTTACACAGCATCCATCATACTATATAGTTTTTAGAGCTAAGGGCTTTGATTTTCTTGCTAGAAACGTCCGATTTTCTAAATATGTTTCTAATGGATTTATTTCACTGTAGTTGTAGTTCTTCAATATTTGCCAAAAGTCACCAAGAACGAGGCGCATTTTGAAGTTTTATTTTCAAAGAAACGGCTTTTTAAAGTTCCTTTGATCTTATATGAGCTTTAAATGGAAACAAGCCACAGAAATTGGGTTAGTTTCCACAAATTGAGCGTAGGAATTAAAATCAGAAAAACTTTGCATGAAATAGGCGAGAGCGCATATATATTTCTATAATTAAAAACCTTTTCCCAGTTTTAGGCAAATTCGTTTTCTAGATATATAGAAAAACTCTAAATCTAGTAAAAGATAGCTCAGCAGAGCAAACACGCCACCTAGCGGACGATAGATGTGTACAGGGTAAAGGTAAAGAGCACAGAAACAGAAGAAACTTAATTTATCGCAGCTTGCGATTGTATTTCTTATTCTTGTAAGGCAACTTTAAATATTATAGTGAGCGCTTGAAAATACTTGAATCCAAAAAGGGGTTTTAAACAAAATAAATTAAGACTCTTTGGTCTAAATCAATAGAAGAAAGACAACGTACTCTACGCTTCGAACTTTGTCCTGCTTGATTTAGTGACATTTATCGCGAACGGAATGTCCATGGGTATTTAATTTAAATATATATGTTTATATAATCTCACGCAACAGCTTCCGGTAGGGTTGTTATCAATCTGACAAGGGCCGTACTCGCTACCGATAAGCTGGCCGAGATCGCAAAGCTTAATATTGTATTCTAATGAGCTACCAAATTATTACAAAAGAGAAAATACCAGAAAGAATTGTTTATCAAACGGAAGTGACGCTTACGAATTAATACAATAAAAATTATATATATCATAGAGAACACACGTATAGCCAGACCCGCACTACTGCTACACTTATATCTGGAATTCAGTAGCTGTTGCTTTGAGGCCTCTATAAATAATACAACTTCAAGATAAACTTAAGCAAGCAATTACGCATTTTAAATTGAATCTATGTGGAGAGGCTTGTGATAAGCGTTGCACAGCTCCGCCTAATGTAAGATCTTACATACCATTTGCATATAGTACATATATACATATATGTATATAAGTGTGTATCTGTGTGTTTGTGTCGTTGTACTTGATGCGTAGCTAAGTTATGCATTGAGCTGAGGTTTCTGTATCTGATTGTGGCAGAGTCTGCTTAATTAGATACGTTATGCAAATAAAGTTTGGGCTTCGTGACGTTGACGCTTGACGCCTGAGAGTGTCGTCTGTATGGCAATCCGTTATCTACGCACGTTATCTGCCATCTGCATATAGCTATATCTATATATATGTACATGCAAGCCGACATTTACATACAAGTTAAATGAACAGATTCCGATTCGCATTGATCTAACTGCATAAATTGTTTGTGCGCGCGTGAAATCAATTTTCATTTGATTTGCTGATTTAATTGCCGTTAGCTGTGTTAAGCTGGCCAACTGGCTAGCCCAGTTACACCCACGCCTACACACACACTCGCACACACGCACACACACACACACACGGAGCAACTGTCACACGGCGAGTGTGATTTAGTGCAGTAAATACAAAAATTAAAGTTAATCAAAATTTAAATGGACAATAAAATACCAGTGTGAAGTCAACAGCGGCATTTCATTTTCAGGGCAATCAAATCAATGCAGATACAACAACAAGTTGGGAGTGCCCGACTAGTGGATACCCTGAACCTACTTGGTAGTCGTAGATGTAAAATGTAAGATACTTTATCGGGCAGCTACTTGTCAAATTTGATGACTCTTGCTCTTAAAACCAAAGAGATTTGTTTAGGAATCAAGATTTAGATATCGATTTGTATCGATTACTTGGAAACGAGGCAAGTTATTATCGATTATCGGCAACAAACTCGTAATGTACGGACTTTTGAGCATGTCAAGTCTCCAGATTTAAAAGGTTCTGAGATGGACGCGTTCATGCATACGGACGGAAAGGCAGACGAGTCTGGCTAGTTCGACTCGACTATTGATGCTGATCAAGATGCTTCTTGCTGCCATCTACATTTGAAAAAAACACATTATACCCTTTTCACCCATTTTCAATTGGATCGGAAGTGTTTCGACAATTACAGAGTACATATGGCAAATATGCATCTAATTGACATGACAGCGCAATAGTGCATATTATAGTGCAAATAAATATTATAGTGCATATATACACATAAATGTATGTGGAACATGCTTTATAAGTATTTTCGACACATGCACTCAGTACACTTCGCACACGAAAATAATTTATTGACGCATAAAATTGGCTGAAATAATAAGCAAAGGAATATTCAGATTGACTTTACGTGTGCGCAGCACACTTCTGCGATAATATCCAGAGCCGACATTTAAAAATACACACATACATATATGTATTAATAATATATGTGTATTTAGTTGTTAACTTAAAGCATCGTGCAGCCAAGTTGATCAAGTGGCAGAAAGAAACGATAATGTTTATCGGAATGTTTGCCAAGTACCCATTACTTCAATCTGTTAGCTTAAGAGCTCGCTATCAGCCAATTAGCCGGAATTACGCGCACTTAATATATTTTCAATAATTATCAGCTCATATTGGTTTTTCTTCTCATAAATCAACTTAATAGTAACGATATTTTATAGGTGTATTGAACAAAATCGAATTTAGAGAAAATTTTAGAAAATTCGTGTTCTTTTTATCGAAATAAATAGATAACTATCCATAATTTAATATATGTAAGTACAAGTTCTTAAATAACATCATTGCTATTTTTATGCAAGCACACGTTTGCTATGGATGATCGATTTGACGTAGCTTAAGCACCAATTGATAAGAAACTGAATGTTCTATCTATCTATATCTGTTAGATTTCACAAAAACCTATCGGAGAGCTGCGACAGAGAAGGCCGCTTATAACCAGTTAAACTACGTCAATTTTGTGGCCACGATGCAGTATAGAAAAAACACGATCTTATCTCAGAGCCATGCAGATAAGGGAGAGCTGCTAAAAAGACAGCAACTGAGAGCAACTTTCTACGAAGTCAAATTGAAAATCGGAGCATATGTTTTCCCTAGAAACTGACGAGTAATATGCATGGAGCATTTCGGTTTGGTAGGCGGCACAGCCAGACACAACTGCAGACAGCGCGAAGAGAAGAAGAGAAATTGAAAAAGAAGAACAAGAGGAAAAATATGGTCCAGACAACTGTGCTGTGGGACAGCACGGACAGCAGATGCTAAAGAAACAGATTGTAAACGAATATGATATTTCGATATGATGCACACTCCTTGCCCAAACTCCGAATCAGAGCCAGAGCCAGATCGAGACTCAGACTCAGACTCAGCCCCAGACGACCGCAACGTAGCATGCAACCATAGGGGTGCAATTTTTGTGTGCACGTAACGGTAGAATACACTTTAGTTGCTGTTGCTGTTCTTTTTTTAGAAAGGGATCTTCTGCTGATCTTCTGCCTGTGCGCCTGCGCACATGTGTTGACTGTCTGTCCCGCTGTCCACCTCAGCTCGGTCCCTACTATCTTAAGTTGTGTGTGTGTGTGTACGCGTGTGTGTGTGCGTGTGTATCTGATTATGGTATCGATCTTGAACTGGGTCTGTCTGCAGCAGGTTAATATCCAGCTCGAGCAAGGACCAGGATCATTAAACGTAGCATGGGGCAACGAACCAGCCTCAAAATGCGCTGAACTGTAAGTGAAGGAACATCTACTTTTTGGAATCGGTCAAATGTCAAAAGACCTGAGAAAATCAACTGAGAAAATCCATAATAAGATGGGAAAAAGAAACATATGTTCTTCTATTATTTCTAGGTATGTATGTGCATGTCTATCTATATACATATGTATGCATGTATCTTGCTTTAAAATGAATAATTCATTCATGCTTTTGATAGGACTTTTTGATTTAACATAGAGCCAATGATCCTCTAAAATGTATACCTTATTTTATTCGCCCACAGCGGGCTTCCAATTTTCAGGTTAGAGAAGTACATGCCGAGTGTCTTTATGGCCCATATTATCAATAATCGTAAATGATCTTGAGCGTTCATTGATCCACATTCCGGGCACATTAGGAAGCCCAACAGTAGCCATTTAAATAGCGATCGCTTGGCTCCCAAAAACAAAACCACAAACCTTCACACATTCCCATTAACGAAATGGGAATCGATGGCCATAAAGGTGAGAAAAGCAAAACACAAGAAGAAATGCAATCAAAGGTAGCACCGGAAACTGTAACAGTGGTAATTTCAATTATGCTCAAGGGTTGCGAGTTGGCCAGGTCCCCCTCCCCCCCACCATCCGCAGGCAAACAACCTGTAAGGTCGCCAACAGTCCTGGTGGCTAGCTGAATGGCTGTGATAGTTAAGGCCGCGGCAGCAACTTGATATAAACTGGTTTTTCCTAGATTCATTCAAGAAAACAGGCAGCACACAAGCACAGCACACACACACACACACACACACATACACCTGGGCAGAGCGAAAGGGTTTCTGGCTGTTGAATAAAAATACTTCAACTACTGTTTTCAACACTTCACTCACCGGTGGGGCAATAAAAAAGAGGCGTGTAACGCCCCTCAAATGCTGGAAGAGGTAGCCGCTGGTATTTTGTTACTTTTCAGCTTTTTTGTTGTTTTTGCTGTTTTTGTTGTTTTTGTTGTTTTGTTTTCTTCTTAAGAGTCTTTATTCTCTTTTTTATTAGGGTATCCAAATTAATTACAACTTCAAATTAGGCGCATAATCTTGATCGGGAAGATAGTCAGTCGCACGGCAAGAAAGCAGGAGCTGCCGACAGCTTTAGTTCTCACTCTCTCCCGCTCCCTCTCTCTCTCTCTCTCTCGTTATCTCTCGCTCCCTCTTTCCTTCGATATATGTATGTGTGTATCTTTTCTTTCTCCTTTGCGGCTATGGAACAGTTTTGTGGTCGCAGCTTATGGTGTGTATCTGTATCTGTATCTGTAACCCTCTGTTTATATCGCGTGGATCAGCAGGCAGGTTGATTATGGCCGGCAAGAGAGATTACGTACGTGTCTGAAACAAAGCGCACGAAAGGAAACGCAGAGAATTGAGATCGGGGATCGGATCGGATCGGATCGGGTCTTGGCTTTAGTTCGGCTTATAAGACGCAACGCTGACGCTGACGCCGACGCCGACGCGGCAGAGATCGAACGACTACGGATCAGAGCGACCCACACAGACAAGCCCGACTACACTACACGCACACACACTTATATATACGCGCACGCACAGACGATCTTTTAAGCGATTTTGTGGTTTTGTAGACAGATTTTTGAATCTTTGCCGTTGGCCGTTGCCGTTGCTGGCTGCCGCTTTGTGGCTCTTTTTCACGAAAAGGTTTAACGTTTTAGCCGCTTATTTGGCTCTATCAATATTTGAACCGCCGTCTTACTACGATATAATTGATATTTGTTTGAACAGAAACAGCAATAACTTCTCTATTGCGATTTTCGAATTTGAATTGCACTCATTTCGATGACACAAAAATAACAAGATTTGGCTATCGATTGGCGTTTCTGTTTGCTGCTTTTTCTTTGGCAACGACCGACGACGACGCACTCGCGAGTTGCGATCACAGCATCGAGCAGAATTCTTGCTAATTAAATTGTGTACGTTTGTTGTTGTTTGTTTTGTATTGCGTATAGTTAAGGACCATTGAAATATTCAAACACATAACCGTTAAGCAGTGTGGGCAAGAGACACAACACACACATCGCGTCCAAACGCAAAGAGAGTCGACAACAAACTGAAGCAGGCAGCGCAGCAGCAGACACAACAACACGCCGAACGCCGACGCCGACGCGTTCATACATATGTGCGAAGAGAGGGAATTGAGCGAGCGGAGCAAGTACCGAAGCAGAACAAGAAGAAGGAGCGGCGAACAGCGAACTGCGAACGGCGAACGTGGAGCTCAGAGTGTAGCAACTGATAACGCCAAAAAAGCGAGAGTACTTTTTTTCGCGCTACTCTTGCATGGGTGTGCGCAAAATACACACAAAGAAACACAATACAAAAAGAATGAATACATACAGACCGATTCCCATTTACATATGTATGCACACGGGAATATGCAAAATAAGTCTGTCAAATGCACGCAATACAAAGATCCCAAAAGAGAGCACTGCGAGTGAGAGAAGCAAGAGCTACTATTTTCCGCAAGCAAAACGAACAAGAACCCACACACACTTACACGCACACACACCGATGTGCAGTCTGAGCGAAAAGAAAATCAGAATAACCCAAACAACAAAAACAAAGTGTTTCTACACGAATAACAACAACGCCACTAAAAAAAAACTCTGCGTGGTCAGAACACTACAAGTGTGTGCGTTTAGGTAACTGCATGAGTGTGAGTGAGTGTAACTGTGTGCGTTAGTGTAGCTGCGACTGTGTGCGGCAATCATTTTTAGCAAGCGACGCACAGTGACACCAGAACTGCAAATGAATTGTTGAATATGCCCACTGTTCATACGAAGCGCTCCCAGAAAGGCTGCAAACAGGTTTAAAAATATACGTACATATAGCCAAAAGCATAGATACACACATATACGTGCAAGTGTTTATATTCTGGCAACGCTTTTGGCATAAATAAAATACATATGCAACGATACGTTTATATATATGTATGTATGTGTGTGTATATGTAGTCGGGCATCACTGGCGCTACAGGAATGGGCAATAAGATTGAGCGGCTCCTGTTCCCTGTTCCAGTGGCAGCCTTGCATAACGAACACGTGTAACCAACATGGTTGACTACCAGCGACAGCGTTTCCTATAACAGAGAAATTGTCAACTTTGGGGTAGGGGCAGCAATTAAATTACTTCACAGCGACAAGTGCACGGCGCAGCAGGACGAACTGAACGAAAGAGACCTGCCGCTCGGTATGAAAGAGAGAAAGAGAGAGAGAGAGACAGAGAGAGAGCGCATGAGCGAGAGTCACAAAAGTGAGAAGAGCGCTTGCGCGCAGTGTTGGTTGTGTGCATGTGTAAGTCGTGTGTTTGCGCATACACGTACATAGGTATGCGTTGCTCGCCGACTGCATTTTTACTACGCGTGTAGGTGAGCCGGATTTTATGAATGAATTTTGTTGTGTGCGTGTGTAATTTGATTTGAGGCTAAAAACATACACAATGCAAGCAGACAACTTTATGGCCACATAATAGAAAATAAACTGCAAGCTAAACAGACTGAAATTAACATACTTATATATACACAATTAACACAGGTCTACCAACTCAACAGGCTGAATCTTTATGTGAGGATACACTTTAATTTGCTTCAAATGTTTAGTAAAAACGCCATATAACAAATAGACAGAATGTCTAGAACATACCCCATAAACTAGTCAAGGCATATTTTGTATTTGTGTGTGCATATTAATTTATGAGATATAACAATAACTGGTAAAAATATTCATCATATGTGTATGTATTTAAAAAACGTTTGTTTATTATAACAGGCAATCTCGTAAATTGATTTTTTTACATATTATTGTTAGCTGTTAAGTTATTTACAATAAAAGCTATTTCCTTCGGCTTCCTTAAGAAATGCAAATTTGTTTTATATTATTATGTATTAAATTTGTCTTACCTTTAAAATGGGATATTCGTTAACTTAGCAATTTCGTCAAATTACGAAGCCAACTTCAAGTGGGTTGACAATCTGCGCGCAACCAGCTTCATGCTGCTCAAATTTGCGTTTGCAGCCAACCTCACGTGGCGCATATTCGTAAGTCACTTGAAGTTGGCTGCGCGTGATAAATATCGTAGTATCGATATTTTAATTTGCGATATTTTAAATCGCACATCGCCAGCTGCAATAAAGGCGCCAAATTAAGGCTGCAGTTTCGTGTGATAAACATAAATGTGTTGCAAATAAATATTGAAATGGCAGACGCTGGCAAAACTAAGGTGCTGCAAAACACTGGCAAGTTTGTTAGCGAAACGCGCGCTGAGGGGTAGGTGTGCATGCAGCCATTCTCGGTGGAGCACTAAATCTATTGCTCTTTGTCTTGTTTTGCCAGCGACGACTTCTTCAATGAAGCTGGTTACCGGCAGTCGCGGGAGAATGATAAAATCGACTCCAAATATGGCTTTGACAGGGTCAAGGATAGCCAGGAGCGCACAGGCTATCTCATCAATATGCATACGGTAAGCTTTTCGTTGCAGTATCAAAATGATTGATTAATTATGCTTTGATTTATCTTGCAGAACGAGGTGCTCGACGATGATCGTCGTTTGGTGGCTGCTCTGGACTTGTTCTTTATCCAAATGGACGGTTCGCGTTTCAAGTGCACAGTGGCCTATAAGCCGTATCTGCTGATACGTCCTGAGGTGAATATGCATCTTGAGGTGGCGCGCTTCTTGGGCCGCAAGTATTCTGGACAGATTGCGAGCCTTGAGCACATCAACAAGGAGGACTTGGATTTGGCCAACCATCTGTCCGGTCTGCAGCAGCATTATCTGAAGCTCTCGTTTCTCAATCAAACAGCCATGACCAAAGTGCGTCGCGAACTAATGGCTGCAGTGCGTCGCAATACAGAGCGCGAGAAATCCAACACGTACTACATGCAAATGCTGGCCAATTCGCTGGCCCAGTCTGCTAGCGGCGCTGATGACGGCAGCGGCAAGCGGCAGCAGGATTATATGGACTGTATTATGGATATACGGGAGCACGATGTGCCCTACCATGTGCGCGTATCGATTGATTTGCGCATCTTTTGCGGCCAGTGGTATAATATACGTTGTCGCAGCGGCGTGGAGCTGCCGGTTATCACTTGCCGGCCGGATATATTGGACAGACCGGAGCCTGTGGTGCTGGCCTTTGATATAGAGACAACAAAGCTGCCGCTTAAATTTCCCGATGCGCAAACCGATCAGATCATGATGATCTCCTATATGATTGATGGCCAGGGCTATTTAATAACCAATCGGGAGATCATCTCCTCCAATATAGAAGACTTTGAGTACACGCCCAAGCCGGAATTTGAGGGAAATTTCATCATATTCAACGAGGAGAATGAGATGCAGCTGCTGCAAAAATTCTTTGATCACATCATGGAGGTGCGTCCGCACATTGTGGTCACCTACAATGGTGACTTTTTCGATTGGCCTTTTGTGGAGACGCGCGCCGCTGTCTATGATCTGGATATGAAGCAAGAGATTGGCTTTTCCAAAATGCGTGATGGCATCTATTTGAGTCGACCCTCGATACACATGGATTGTCTGTGCTGGGTGAAGCGAGATTCCTATTTGCCGGTTGGCTCACAGGGCCTAAAGGCAGTGGCCAAGGCCAAGCTGCGCTACGATCCCGTCGAGCTGGATCCCGAGGACATGTGCCGCATGGCTGTGGAAGAGCCGCAGGTGCTGTCCAATTACTCAGTTTCTGATGCGGTGGCTACCTATTATCTGTACATGAAGTACGTGCATCCCTTTATATTTGCCCTAAATACCATTATTCCCATGGAGCCGGATGAGATATTGCGCAAGGGCTCCGGCACATTGTGCGAAACGCTGCTCATGGTTCAGGCCTATCATGCGAACATTGTCTTTCCGAACAAGCACCAGAGCGAGCTGAACAAGCTTTCCAATGAGGGTC